CACACACACACACACACACACACACACACACATCCAAACACATAGCCCAAAGCTCTCCTTACACGGCTCTTTCGCGGGTGCTTTGTTCATTTCTCTCACCAGCCCTGACAGCGGCTGCTATGTTCCAGGCACTGCTCTCTAGGCGCCCCTTCTTCTCAGCGCATATCCTACAGGCTATCCTTCTAGGAACTGCTCTCCTTCCACAGTGATTAGCTCAGCTCCTTGTATGTTCGTATGTAATTAATAATTGTTAGTGGGTTTGAAGGCTGTTAGTACCACTATGTAGAAACTAAAGTCCAGAGGCTCAGGCGAGGGGAAAGAATTTAGCCCCGAGGGGTATGCAAGCAGGAATATGTTGAGAGCAGGGTGGCTTCTCACAGAGGTCTCTAGAACCAAGGTAAGTAAGAGACGGGACAAGGGGACAAGAAAAGGAGTGATAAGTGATGGGAAGTGCTAACTTTTTAATCCAAGAAAATCACCCTGTTTTTAAGTCATCTGTTAGACAGACCCGTTTCCCTAAGGATGAAGGAAATATGAGATGAAGGAAGAAAGGAGATGATGCTTTCTGCACACTATCTCAGTTACTCCTCCCAACACCACCAGCAGGTAGATGGTATTATTCCCACTTAAAGAAACTGAGGTTCAAGGATGTGAAACAGCTGGACTAAGGTCATATGGTGAGATGACGGGAGAATTAGGATTCCTACCCAGTCTGTCTGATTCCAGCATCTTTCTTATTTTTATACAACCTGGGGGCTAAAGAAAGAAAAAACTGAAACATATCTGGACTGTTTCTGAGTCCATTCTCTTCTTCCAAATCCTATCCACGACCTCCGTCGGTTATCAGAAACGCCTTCTCAGGATCCCCATGGATCCCCTTTAAGCAGCTCAGCTCTAATGAACTAGGAAAACATCAAAACAGGATCTTTCAAAGTGAACGAGCTACATCATCATTTTCTCTGCCTCTTTTGTTGTATTTAAGCATGGGAGGATATGCGCAACCACGTACCATATTTCCCCATGTATAAGACGCACCTTAATTTTGGGGGCCCGAAATTTGAAAAAAATGTATTACATAAAGTTATTGAACTCAAGTTTTATTCATCATAAAATTCATACAACTCCTCATCACTTGAGGGAAATGCAAGTAAGAAAATCTACAACCACTGTAGAAGACACACCCAGTTTTTAGACCCCAAATTTTTCGAAAAAGGGTGCATCTTATACATGGGGGAATATGGTAGATCCTGTCAGGCCATTACCCTCAGCTACTGGCATTCACCTTTGAATTCCTCATCGGCATTTGCTGAATGAAGAACAATGACAACGAGATATTCAGTGACTGGTGGCAAAGTTACTAAACATCTAGATTTCCTGATTTGCTCTTCCTTTCGCCCTGTCCTTTTCAGGTTAAGATAAAAGACTTTGTTGTTCAGAGGCCTTCCCAAAAATAGCATGCAGTTATTCTTTAGGGAAGCTCAGGCTTAGTTCAAAGAGGCTGCTCTTTTCTGGTGTCCTTTGTTGTGTTCAGTTCCTACACCCCCACCCTCCCTTCACCAGTTCCTGTCGCACCTACTCGCTCTTTGACTGTGTTATCCATTCTTCATTATACCATTAAGAGTGAATCAGTTTCAGTAGAGTATTACATAGTATTTGCCACCTGTTCCTTCCCCTCCATCTTACCAAAGCCATGTTCTTTTGGCAAGCATTTACTGAGCATCTACTATGTGCCAGGTTCTGTTCCAGCAGCTGGTCCTCATAATTTCATTTTTGGCAATCACAGTAGCTTCCACGTGGATCTCTCTGCCTTAAGTTTCTCTGAATCCATCTACTGCATCCTGCTACTGAATCAATCTTTCCAAAGTTCTGCTTTGTAAACAGCAGTCTCTATTCATTTGCCCACGGGATTAAGTCCCTACTTATTAGCCCTCTCCTATGTGCCCTCTAGATGCCGTTTAGACTCTTTTTTTCTACATACACAATCCACATTCTACTATGTTCTATTCATTTGCTCCCCAGCATGCCACACGCATTCCACTTCTGTGTCTTATAGCTCTGTGAACTTCCAAATTCCACTCCATGAAATGTGAGCTAACACTCATCCTGAAGACGAGTCTGAATGACCTGGATTTAGGGATGAGAAGCAATACTAGCCATGTCTGTCTAGAGAGGGCCAACGACCCAAAGTGTTGCTAGCAGATGAGTTTCTTAGGCAGCCCTGCTAAACCCTGAGAAGAGAAATTAAATCAATTCACTCTTCCATTCACTCAGCCATTCCACAAAACAGTTATCGGGTATCACCGATGTGTTAAGCGTTGTAATGAGTGCTCGGGAAACAACAGGGGAAAAGATAAACAGGTTCCTCCCCTCATGGAGCTTTTAGTAGAAAATACAGACATTAAACACATCAAGTGACTAAATCAAATAATACAAGTGCAGGAGAAGTGATAATAAAAAGAGAAATAAAGTGCTAAGACACAGCAGAGTGGGATATGCTAACTGGAAATAGGTGGTGGTCTTACCCAAAGAAGGTCTTTCTGAAGAAGAAACATTTAAACTAAGACCTAAATGATGAGAAGTCAAACATGTAAAGTGACATGCCAGGCTCTTGAACAGTAAGTGCATAGGCTCAACACATATAAACGTGCACGTGCGGGCATACGCAAACACATATGTACATGCGTGTGCGCGCGCGCACACACACACACACACACACACACACACACACACACACACACACATTTGTTGACGCCAATGCAAGCCGATAAGCTTACAAGCCTGGGTCTTATGTGTAATTCATTTGCCCACCGCAGATGTTGCAGCCAGCCCTTTTTCCATCATAACCAAAACAGTTTCTCTTTCGGTTAAACAAATAGATAATAAGCCTTTTGGTTTATGGGTTTCTCTCAAAAGACTGGGATTTAAATCCCACCTATATATTTTTTTCTACTTTGCCCTGTTATTTACTTCCAACTCAAATTTACATAACACTTCTAGAACCCAACATAGCACTCTAGTGATCCTCATTCTGTATATTGAAAATAACTGCTCGTTACTTTTTAAAGTTCCTATATACCAGCTCTTAAGAAAATCTGGAAGTTGCTTTCCATACCTCTTTGATTAACTGGATCTTTAGCTACGTAGGCAACATAGTCTGTAGTATCCTATAAAAAAGGGAAAATGATTGCATTTAAAATGAATGGATTGTACCGTTGAAAGATAAGAGTACATTTAGGACATGATACTGAGGAAAGGACTTAAAAGTTAATGTTTCTTTTTAAAGAGAAAAGGAAATCATCTTAGGCAGGAATATAAACAAATACCCATTATATAATTTAGCACTTGTGGGGTCCACATTCTCTGCCCTTTGGGGAGAGAACCTGAAGATTAAAAATTTAGAAACAGACCATATCACTAAGAATAAAAGGAAACGCAGGTAGGGAATATGTTAGAACTTATATTCTTAAAAAATGGTTAGGGACTATGACTCTCCTGTATTGAAAGTTGAAATACAAGGGGTTACGTCATCACAAAGGTGTCACAAACTAGGATGTGGCATCATGACGTCCCAGGTGTCCAAGCAGATGCCATGTACATCAGGAAACAAATGGATTAAAGAAACACTTTGGACACAAACAGACTGAAAGTAAAGGGATGAAAAAAGACATTTCATGAAAATGGAAACTAAGAAAAAATCTGGAGTAGCAATACTTATACCAGACAAAATAGACTTTAAAACAAAGGCTATGTAACAGTAGGCTTTTAAAGAAGGAGCCAATAATCCCACTTCTGGGTATTTATCCAAAGAAACCCAAAACGCTACTTGGAAAGGACATGTGCTTCTATATTTTCATTGCAGCACTGTTTACAATAGTCAAGATAAGGAGGCAACCGGGGTGTCCATCCATGAATAAAGAAGAGGTGGTACATATATACAATAGAATATTACTCAGCCATAAAAAAATAGAATCTTGCTATCTGCAACAACATGGATGCACCTAGAAGGTACTGTGCTGAGTGGAGTAAAGCAGACAGAGAAAGGCAAATGTCATATGATTTCACTTATCTGTGGAATCTAGAGAACAGATAAATAAACAAACAAAACAGAAACGAGCTCATAGATACAGAGAACATTTTGATGGTTGCCACATGAGGGGTTGGGGAGATAGGTGAAGGTGGGAGGGGATTAAGAGGTACAAATCGGTAGTTACAAAACAGTCATGGGGACGTAGAGTACAGCATGTGGAATACGGTCAGTAGTATTGTAATAACTATGTATGGTATCAGATGGGTACTGGGTTTATTGGGGTGATCACTTCGTAAGTTATATGTCTAATCACTGTGGTATACTTGAAACTAATATAGCATTGTATGTCAACTATAATTGAAAAACAAAAAATATTTTTAAAAATTAATAAAAACACTGGGTTTTGTCGTTGTTAGCTTGCTTGCATGTAGTGCAAGTTAATTTAAGGACTACTAAAGCAGAAATACAAGCATTTATTTGATCAATATAAAGAAAAAATCATTGTTGAAAAAGAGAACCCATTAAAACCTAAGTTGTTAAAAAAAAGAGATGTGTTGCTGACTTGGTAAAAACAAACAAAAAGCCACTTGGTAATTCTGATTTTTATGGAAAACACTAAGCTGATTAATGATAAGATTTTAATAATTAAAGATGCTTTTTGTTATCTCAGTTCTCAGGAAAAAAAATACACACTGCCATTTGCAGATTAGAAGTATGACTCTCTAGAGGGAAGATACAATCAACTGGCAGGAAATAGAAGCCCATGTTTGTAATACCCTCAAGGACAATCACTTAATAACCTACAATGAATCATACAGGAAGCAGATCTCAGGGTCAGCATAACTTGTCTTCAGTTATTTGAAAAAATAACACACACCTAAGTAAATTTCTCTTATGCAAAAAGAAAAGGTTTGAAATATCTTGTAAATTAATAAGGTCATATCTATCAGCTTTGTCTTATATTCATTTAGAAGCAAAGCCACCATTGCTGGAGGCTTGGCTGCTATTTTTAAAGTTAAAGAGGTGGTATGATGACAGCAATATTGTCTGGTATATTAGATGAATGGGAAAGGGGTCATGGGACCTTTCCAGACCTGTCTCCTCATCTTCAAAAGAGTGTCCAACATTCTTACAGCTCTAAAATTCTTTAACTAGAAATATTTGGGAGAATTTAGAATGCTAAAAATAAAGTACAAATAGTGGGGGGAAAATATAAGAAAATGTATTTAACTTGGTCATACTCATTCATGCATTTTTTTTAATGGAGTAAGTATATGTAGATACAGAAGCATTACCAAGAACTGTCTTCAGGGCTGATAGAAGGGAGAAAAATAAACTTTTTTTGAGAAAAGAGTAAAGGTGAGGGTGAGCAATGGTCAAGAAGTGAGGAAGACTACCCAGGACTTTTTAAACTTTGGACAAAATATGGTAGAAAGCAGGGTACTATATTTGGCCATGGAGACTTAGCTTCCTACTCCTCATACCCAGCTAGCTGTGAAGTTGTACATTATCTCAGTGAAATAAAATAAAAATGGACATGTGTTAGCAACAGTAGTGATAGTTACCTCTTATCACTCTGCACCCAGCACTATCAGTTTATGTGCATTTCACTTAATTTTCATGACACTGTGAGATAAAGGTGATCATGCCCCATTTTATAGAGGAGGACCCTGAAGCTCAGGATAAGTACATCAAGTCTAAGTGACTCCAAAGCCTGATACTCCACCCTACTGCCTCGCTGACCTGAGGGTAAAACTTCACTCGGGACCTCCAAAGCCAATGTATACCGTGGCTCCAGTTTTAATTTTGAATCAGCAGGCTTTCTCCACAGCTGTAGAGAGCACAGAGGTCCCACTCACTTCAGGAGGCACAAACTTTGCCACAGCAATTGCAAATTTTTTACTATTTGTTTTTTGTAGGGGAAATGCTTTGGTGGGTTGAAAGACTACAGAACTAAAGGTTCATGAAGACAGTCTAAAATGAATTAGGATTCCGGAGAACTGTGATTTATTCCGGAGACACCACGCAGGGCATGCTCGTGGTAAATAAAAGGATTTGCTAGCCAATCCTAAAAATGACAGCAACTCTTGAAACTCAAAAGGGGACATTTAAGGCAAACAGCAAAAACTATTCTTCACATTACACTTATAAAACACACTACTTTAAGTATCTTAAGGAAAGTATTTGAGTTCCTTCATGAATGTCCGAACCGGAAAGAGAAGAGGCAGTGCTGGCCTTTCGGGCTGAATTCAGTCAACTCACTGCTACCAAACATATCCTTTGGTGTTTCTGTGAGGCCAGATTACAAGGCTGGATGGATCAGAGTTCAGAATTAGTACTGGGCTCACATTGCAGCTGCTAAACACCAGGCACCTTGCATGTCCCCGTTTGCTACTGAATCTAGTTAGCCATCAGTGGAATCTATTCGGGAAAAGGTGGAGCTCTTTTCAAATGTGGTTTACTGTTAAATGGTGGCACCATGGAACTAAGATATTCATTTGAAAATAACTATACCCAAAGCTGAAAGGTGAGGAAGTAGTGAATCCTAAAGGGAAAATGAAGTATGCATTATAGAAAGAAAAAACAATGATTTGAAATTCTGTAAAGGCTGCTTTTCTTCCATATGTTTCAAGGAAGTTCAGCAGGCAGATTGTCTGGGTTTGACATATTTTAATACTTTGAGTCACTATTAGCCAATGGGAAGACAAGTAATTATTCAAATGTTTTAAAGAATGGAGTAATTTAAACATCATTTAACTATGCATTTCACACACACAAAAATTACACCACCACCCAAGTGGAAGAACTTTCTTAAATACTTTAGATGCCAGTAAAAGAAGCAATGATTACACAAAGTAACTTTAGAATTTTATTTCCTTTTAAGATAGACAATTATTTTCAGTTTAAACCTTTAGCCTCAAGATAAAATAAATCAAAACTCTGCAGTGACATCAGCTGACAGGTTTCATTTTTACTATCATTGCATGCTTCTCTTGGGTTTCTGGGTTATGTGTCCTATCATTTATGATCCTAAATTTTATTCCTCAATTGAAAGAAACTAAATGTAATGGTGAAAAAAAAATCAACTGTTAAAGCGGATTTTATTGCCTCATTTCTGAAGCATATAATCTTTAATAATAATAAATGCTTTTCAAAAAAGAAGGTAATACATTGTCAGTAAGGACAAGGTCAGTGTATGTTCCCCATGTTTTCTTGACATGACTGATGTTCAGTCATTATGAAAGTCAGACTCTCCCCTCCCCTAGTCTTCTATATGTTTGCAGGTACAAGAAAATGTCATGATGTCACGGAAGAGCAGAAACCTCCTTCTACTCCCTTAGTTTCAACAGATGTGCGTCTTGTTCAGCCACAGGCTTCCAAGTTTCAGGGCCCCTCTCCTTTTGCTCTGGTCCAGAAATGATGCAGTACAGAGCCAGGGAATGATCCTCCATCCTGCAAAGTCGGCTTGCAGAGAGAACACTGGCTCAGTCCTGCACCATTCATGGGAAGTGAGCACCATGTGGCCTCTTAGTAGGGAGGAACTGCAGCTCTTTCTCCCCAGCTGAGCATTACAGCCATAACTTTCTGCAAACCTCGTGGCTCATTCTAGGTTAAACTCAGTTGCCATGTATGACAGGCTTCTCCTCCTATGCCAAATCCAAATGATTAGTAGGATCTACTTGGAACTCGCTGCTGAGAAGAATTCTGAGAAAGGACTGGCAACACATGTATCACATATTTGTTTTTCATGACTTTGATGTTATTTAAAAGAAACTTCTCAGATGATAACTCCATGGCTAATAACACAATGAAGTATTATTAACTCATCTGCTAACCCAAATATTTTTAAAATCAGTGACAGGAAATATTTTGTCAAACCAAACTTTTGGTTACCTGCTACATGTGGCTATTCACAAATTGTAGTAAGATATTTGGAACAGACATGTGTAGTGTCTAATATGCTTTATGTAGAAGTTCTTTTAACTCTTACAGAAGAATTTTTATGAATCCATACTTACAGGATCCCCTCCAGAGGCAAATGAAATAGACTGCATATGATGATTTGCAATAATCTGGAAAACAAAAACAAATTAACATGTATGATGCTTTAAATTAATTACTTCAAGTTACATACAATTTAACAGTAATGGACATATGTTTGTTTGTTTTTGCCTGAACACATCCTTTTGGAAACCACGTCACCCATATTTTATAATAATCTCATTTTGACCATGAAGTTCAGGTGGCTTTGACATACCCATCTCATTGTCCCTCTCCTTGCAAGTGGACATATGATCTAAGCCAATCAGAAGACATCTGGATACAGCAGAGCCAATCAATGTCATTGGGGAGGAACTGATATAGACAACAGGAGAGGATACATCTCTCTCTGCCATGAAGGACCGTGTAAGCCCAAAGCTTCTGGGAGCAGCCATCTTTTGCCAACATATGGGAAAAGCCTGCTGCAAAACGAAGCTTTCCCTCTGGAGAAAATCAGCTGAGAGTTAAAAATAGAAAACAGTCTGGTGGTAATATTTGATTCATGGTTTCAACCAAAACATTTCCTGTCTCTCTTTATCTTTTTTCTATATTACTTATTAATTTATTTTTATATAAATTAGTTTGAATTGGGTTTCAGTCATTCGCCACCAAAAGCATTCTAAAAGGCACTAACATTAAGATTTCCAATAAGAAGTAAGACTATCAGAGTGAACTACATTAGTTAGCCAAGAAGACTATTTCTTTTACTTGAGATTCTAGGATTGCTTGTTTGTAACCCCCAATGTGTAATGACCAGTTTCCAGAAATGTATTTGTCATACTGTTTTGGAGGTTCATTAAAATACTATCTGTGTAGCTATTAGCTAATACTGTCTTCAGAAGTAGATTCTGAGCTATTAAAGTTGCTTATATAAGATGGCCAAGCCGTTCTACTCTTGAATGTATATCCAACAGAACTGTGCAAATAGGAGCAGCAAAAGATATTCTAAAGAAAATCACTGCTCTTTTCATAACAGCCCACAACTGGAAACAATCCCACTGGTGACAATTGTGATATTTAAACAATTAACTACTACATAGCAACAACATGTTACTTGGGCAAAAGATGCCAGACACAAAGAATATATGCCACATATTTTAACTTATATAAAGTTTAAAAACAGGCAAAATTATTTTATTCTGTTTGAAGTCCAATACTGGTTACTTCTGGGGCAAAGGAAGAGAGAGCAAGTGGTTTTCTGGGACCTTGCAAATGGTTTCTTGATATGGGTAAAGATGTCAATTCTCACCCCAGATTAGTCTGTAATTTACATGCAATTCCAATAAAAATTCCACCAATGTCATTCAGGGAACTTTTCATGCTGCTTCTAAAATTCACATGGAATAAATGTGCAAAATAAGCTAAAGCAATTTTTTAAAGAAGAGATAAAATTTTCCCTATTAGCAAGGAATATTATCATACTATAGAAATTCATTAGAATACAAAGTCCAAAAACAGACTCACATATTGATGGATTTTTAGTCTATAATTAATATGTCACCAAACAGCAGACCAAAGGACAAGGGATTAAATTAGTGGAGTTGGCTGAATTAGCTCTATATATATGGTAAAATTATATAAATAAATCCTGTCCTCATCTGTATAAATAAACAAATGTTTGATTCATACAAGATCTACAAGTATATCAGAAGACAGATAAAAGATTATGTTTGTGGTCTCTGAGGTAGGAAAAAAATCCATCTTAATAGAAAGAGACGTACAGACAAAAACCCTTACATTTGATTACTTAAAAACTCATTTTAAAACTTTGTATAAGAAAAGACCGCTGGAACAGGGCAAATGACAGGAAGAGAGAATATATTGGAACATGTAAAACGAAAGTATTCATATACAGAGCTCATATGGAATTCCTATGAATCAGTAAGAAAAAAGAAATAACCCCAAAAGAACACCAGTTAATTTTCAGAAGTAATACAAATGTTTGATAAGCCTATTAAAAAGATAATTTCCAAGAAACCAAGACTATTCAAAATAAAAGAAGATACCATTAAATTGATAAAATTGTCCACATTCAACAAAATTGTGTGTGGCAAGGGCATGGATATTCTCAAACACTGCTGGCTAGAGCTTAAAATTTGTTCAGGAATTTGGAGAGCCCTTTGACAGTATTTGTTAAAACCAAAGTATGCATATTCTACAATTTCACCTTCCAACTCCTAGTTATTTATTCTAGAGAAGCACTGGCCTGTTTCATTTACCGTTTTTGTTCATTTACCGTTTGTTCATTTACCGTTTATGGTACAAAACGCCGGAAATTATTTTTCCATAGTTAGGTCAACTATAGTATAGTATAGCTATACAAACGGAATGCTATGAAAAAATATGTATACTAACAAAGCTAAATCTTCAAGACATTGCTGAGGGGTTTGTTTTGTAAGTTGAAGACAGTTGTGTGAGACATGTTTTTTAAAAAGGAAGATTTTTTCCACTAGGACCTAAGATCCATGTAAATGCAAAGAAAAAGGATTTAAATACACACCAAACCGACAGTAATGGAAAATTACCTCGTGCAAAAAGAAATGGGACCTCACTATAACTTTTGCAAAAGAACACATATAATATACTTATTTGTAAATTCAGCTTTTTCTAATGAGGGAAATTGAAAACATGTTTAATGCATCAGGTCTTAATATGTTGATTTGTGGTTGAGCACATAGCGTGTGGTTGGAGGTGTGGAGTTCAAGTCATTAGCGCGGATACAGCATAGTTAAAACCTAGGAGCAGATGCGATTGCCTGGGGTGGTGGGAGGAGGAGCAGAAGAAAGGAGGGGAAGGAAGGAGTAAGGAGGAGGATAAAGCGTTGTTACCGCGGGCACATATTTTCCAGTTTTATAGCATCGTAAGCAGCAGAACAGTTAAGTAAAGCGAAGACGAATTAACAGTCTCGTATGCACAGTCTTTGGGTATGAATTTCGAATCAAACCAAACATAAACCACTAAGCCACGCTGACACCACCCAGCGCAGCAGTGAGGGGGCTCCCACCCAAGTGGCGCGCCAAGCGAGAGGCGGTGTCTGGGGGTCACGCAGACGCACAGGGTCGCGCGCGCCGTTTGCGCACGCGCACAACCACAGGGCCGCGTAGCTCCGATCTTGCTGAAAACGCCTTGCAGGAGGTTGAGCCGCTGGTACAATGTCGGAAATGAACGAGCTGTCCGAGCTGTATGAGGAGAGCAACGACCTGCAGATGGATGTGATGCCTGGCGAGAGTGACCTTCCGCAGATGGAGGTAGGCAGCGGGAGCCGGGAGCCATCCCCAAACCACCCCCGCAATGGGGCCCCGCCACAGCTCGAGGAAGAAGGCCCGATGGAGGAGGAGGCGGCCCAGCCAGTGGCGGAGCCAGAGGGGCAACGAGGCCTTGCTAATCGCCCCAGCCCTGGGGAACAGCCAGGCCAGATCGCAGGCCCTGACTTCGAGAGCGAGGACGAGGGCGAGGAATTTGATGACTGGGAGGACGATTACGACTATCCGGAAGAGGAGCAGCTGAGTGGTGCAGGCTACAGAGTATCCGCAGCTCTTGAAGAAGCCAACAAGATGTTTCTGAGAACATCCAGAGCAAGAGAAGCAGCCCTGGATGGTGGCTTTCAGATGCATTACGAGAAGACCCCGTTTGATCAGTTGGCTTTTATTGAAGAGCTTTTTTCACTTATGGTTGTCAATCGTCTGACCGAAGAACTCGGTTGTGATGAGATTATTGATAGAGAGTAGTTAAATGCAGTTGCCAGAGGAGGAAACTACTTGAGGAGAGACCCAACATTCCACTGCCTCTCGGGATTATTCCAAATAGTTCCGTGCCAATGAAAAACTGGATGTTCAAAAAAAAAAAATTTTTTTTTTGTTTTTTTTGTTTTGCAGAATAGAATAGGGCAGTGACGGCACCGTTGTGAAAAAGAAAAAACAAAACAAAGAAAAAGGATCTTAGGACTGTCGAAACCTGTTTTCAAGAATACCCTGAAACACGTATGGCTTTGACTTTGTTGTTAATCCAGATTATTTTCTTTGCATTGGGGGAAATTACTTTCCTATTTCACTGTACGGGATGGTTTTGCAAGAATAAATCATAACCAAGACAAACTGCCAGTACAGGAGCCCACAGATACTAATTACGTGAGAATAACATATCCAGTTTAGGAAAAGAGATGTCTTTTGAGTTATTGGACTGAAAGCCTGTTAAGAAAACTGACTATTCCACTTTGTGATCTATCAAAGGTTAAATTTTTAGTGTCTGATAAATAGAATATTCTTAGTATCCCAGAAGGATAAGCAAACCCAAAAAGAAATACGTATCATGTGTGCTATCTCTTAAAATGTTTCCAAGAGCATCTGAAATTTTGTACATGTATCTTGATCATTTATAAAGCTACTGTGATCCGTGAGTCAAGAAAATTCATTGTCTTGACCATTTTTAAGTCAAAAGTGAACAAGTCCTTAGTAAATTTTCAAATTTAGATATTAAAAAGTATGTGAAAGTACAAAGAAAAACTAACATTGTTATATACTAGAGAAATTTTCTGTTTTACTCGCTCTCTGGTTTTCATTTCACTTTACAGGCAAAAGACTGGTTGAACTTTATAACATAAGAACTGTTAAGTGAAAATTGTCAAGTAAAAGGAAAGCCCTGCATTTTAAAAAGATTATGAACAATTATGCCGTCAACCTTTACAGGTTTTAAACCTGTCCAGAAATCCACCCGAAGTTTCTGAAGTTTCCCTCTGTCTCCTCCTCTAATGAAGTTTGTTATTGGTTACGCACCAGCATTCGAGATAATAAAATTTCTTGTTCTGTGTATTTTGTTTGACTAATTGCATTGCATACATACTTTATATACTATTTTTTATTGTATTATACTATTTTATTGTCTTATTGCAACCACTTTATGCTTTAAATTTAACCACAATTTATAAGGGAAAGTGCTCCAGCTTCAAATACTTGATTTACAAATTAACTTGGGAAACTAAACAGTAAATTCTGGTAAGAGAATTTGCCAACCTGGGAAAACTTTCACTAATAATGAGCATGATGCTGTGATTATTAAGGTTCTAAAGTTCTATGATGATTATGTCAGAAGGCTGTGACCAGTAAATAAAAATGTACTAGATGTTCCTGCTCTGTTATGGCTGAAGGACACATCCAATACAACATGACAACTCAACCTTATTTATCGTACAGTCATCCTTTCTTTTAGAGAGGGTGATTCTTTTCTGTAAAATATGAGACTCACAAAGATGATGATAATCGCTCAAACACTATCTTGGAGAGGAGGAAGAGAGAGAGATGGAAAAACTAGACAGGAGGTGACAAATGTCTTAATGCCACTGCCTCCCCCATGCCTCACTTCTTTCATTGCATTTTCAGACAGCTTGTAGTTGCAGTCAGATGACTGGATAAATACTTGCTTATGTGATGTGAATGAACTGGACTCTGAAAAAAAAGGATGCCAATACACAATGAACTGAGCGGTTGCACTTTACCTCCAGATAAAGATGCCAGGAAACAGGCTCAGAAAAAAACAGGTTTACAGACCTGGAGGCGTGATTCTGTTTCTCTGGGACTGAGTTGGGAGCAAGAGAAGAAAACTTGGGTTTGAAGGCTTATTTTGTGGAGAAAGACCTGAACTCTTTAACTGATTCCTCTGATGGTTGTTGGTTTTAAAAATAAGCAGTAACCTGAGAGACCACTGAAATTAACACTTGTTAATTTACTGAAGATAGAAAATGGTAATATTTTTAATACCCCTTGTAAGGGTGTAAAATCAAATGTATTCCTATTCTAAAAGTTATCACAGACTAGAACTAATCTACCTGGTTCAAATCTAGGCTCCACTACTTACTAGCTTTGTTAACTGGGTAAATTACTTAATATTTCTGATTCAGGGTCCCAAGCAGAAAATAGGGATTAGATATATGTATATCTTCCTTTGATGGGAACTAAACAAAGGAATTCTGGAGAAATTTTACCCTGATTTTGTGATGTGGGGAGAGGGAACTTAAAGAAGCTTATGAGTATGTAGTGTAATTTGGGGAGCATTTTCTGGATCTATTTGTAAGTATAATGTTTGCTTAAAATCAGATATCTCACATTGGCTGCCCTAAGGACACAGAAATATTTTGTTTGGTTCATGCTTATAATTTTACTTTCTTAATTAAAGACCAAAACTTTGTTCCAGAGAGCAAGAAAACTCCCAGATTTCCTTTTTTTTTTTTTTTCTTTTTTCAAAAGTGTAAGATCTGGCAGCCCTTGACCTATAATGACATGGTTAAAAGTATCTGATTCACCTTTCTTTAGGGAAGGTATTGTTTTCCATGTTCCCCAATGTTGTCTCACCAACATGGTGTCCAAGTGGCACTCACCATTTATCATTGTGTTTGCACCGTTGTTTTTTCTTGTACCTGAACAGTTTGCATTACCTGCCTGGCCTCTAGATAGATATTTGAGACTAAAGGATGTCTCAAATTTTCTGCCTGTTTTACCTTAATCTCTATTACCCTTCTCAATTTCAGTACTTGTTAAAGTTGGTGGGAGGAGTGTAGAAATAAATATAGGAGTGGAATCTAGCAAGACTGACATTTTTGCTTAAGGCCCTAAAATATATATTACAGTATGTCAGGGAATTCTTTTTTGAATTTTTAAAACAATATACAAAAAACTCTAGAACTTCCTTTTTTAAAATGTATTTTCCCATCCCAAACTGTGATAAGTTTTAAAAATTGCAATCATTACGTGATTAATATAGTTTTATTTTTTGCCTCTTAGGTCTATGAGACATTTTCTAGGAGTGAATGGTTATATTTTTGAAATTCTCAGTGGCTGAAAATAAATGTGAACCATCTGACCCATAAAAGCTCTCTCATGTACGAATGTATCTAGAAACTTGAACCTGTTTATGTTTTCAGTCCAAAACATACCGGTATCTTAGAAGTTGGTGGGGGGTGGGCGGGGCGGGACATTAGTATTTCTTTGTATTTATCTTAGAACTTAAAAGGGTAGCTTTCTTTACGGAGAATTTAATTAATAAATCCTTTTCTCATGCATCCATAGGTCGCTCCTCTGCTGCCTTCACTCATTGAACATCTTAGTTGCCCTCTTGATGAGATATAAAGCTTCTTGAGTTGAAGCATCCAGAGTATGACACATCTTTTTTTATATGCCCCACACACCCCAAGCCATTTCCCTCAGGCCTGCAAAATAGTTCAAAATTATTTGAGCTATTACATTTTATCAGTGAGATCCTGAACACAACTCCGTTCCTTGATACCAATGCAGAAAAGGTGATTCACTCCCAAGGTACCTCGTTGCTGTAACCACTGGCAGTGGAAGCCAGCCATGCCCCCTATCCCTACTATTATCTGCCACAAAGATTACAGGTGTGTGGCACTACCACCCCTAATCGCAGTGGCCTGGAAAAAGGCAGTGGAGGAGAAGGAAATGCTAAGAATAAACTATGCCCCCTACCACACACCACAACCCTATTCTTCTCAAATCACCCATTTCTTTAGTCACCCCATGGAAAGCCAGTTTTTAAAATGCTCATTAGATTCTGCACATACGACTGTCAACATACTGGCTCTAGCTCTGCCTACTCTTCCTCTCCTACAAAACTCATAATTCAAGGGCTCCTATACTCAATGAGATCTCATAGCTAAAAGCATTAAGTATCTCTGGTACCAAACACGTAGATGAAATCTAAAAATCAATTTTACATCTGCAAACGTCTTAAGGGCAAAGCACCCGAAAGACTGAAGGAATGTTTTACCTTCCACCCAGAAATTGCATCTTCCAAGTACAGCCCCAAATGTTCTGCTGTCATACTAATGGTATCACCTCTCTTGGATAACCAATGAGGATCCAACGGGACAGGAATCTATTTTGAACTGTTTCATATTAAGCATTTTCCTCTGTGATGACTTATACTACTGTGCAATCAATGCATTTTATTCTGCTTTTGCATTTAGGATATAAAACAGCCCTCAAAACCTCAAGTGAAATTATTGGCAAAAAAATGGAAGTCAAAATGTATATAACTGTACTTATATGTTACTAATAAATATATAATTGTATATTATATGCTTCCCCTGTTAAGTACTGAGTATATGAAAAGTTCTCAGGGAAGAATGTTTGTGTAAGTAATAAGTACCATGTGACTGGCACTGTGCTGTGTGATTCACACCCATTACCTTACTTAATCCTTTAAATAGCCCTACAAGACATAGACTATTGCTAAACCCATCCTCTCAGAAACACCATGAATACAATAAGCCTCATTTCACTGATGAGGAAAATCGAGTGGCAGGGTAACTTGCTCATTAGCGGCAAAGCCAGGGTTTCAACCTATATGTGACCTCAAAATCTCGTAGTGTTTTACCACTGCTAAGTACACGTTAAACCTTCCACGAGTCCCTGATCAACAGTGCACTCCATAGAGGAAAACCTTAAGTATTAAATATTAAAAGCCTTGAATCACTACATAGTAGACAAAGAAAAATTAGACTATTACATATAAATAACCTGACACAAGAAATTCAGTTTAAAAAAAGAAACCAAGAAACCAGGTCAAAAAGTGTCTTTTTTAAATGTATACATTCATCCCAATGCCTGCATGTCTTTTAAATTTGCTTCAGCAGTGCTGTTCTTTGAGCACTAAGGTTCACAGTGGAAACTCAGGTACACCCTAGTATCATAAATCATCAAAGATGAAAAGATTATGTTTAAATTTTTAGAAAGCTTTTCACTCACTCACGGGTTGAAAGAAAATATTTTCTGCTTAAAGTTCAGTTAGCGAGAACATTAGCCCTAACATCACCCTCCCTCTCTGTCCTTCATCTGCGCCCCCCCCCCCAACACACAGTGTGTTAGCTCTGATAATGAAATTGCTTTTTCTTCAGGGAGGGTTGGTGGAGAGTAATAAATGACTGATTCAAGGATATGAGTTGTCAAATGGCATTTACTCTATTCTTTGCACCTTAGTTCTTATTACAAAGCCGATTAAGTCGGGGTAAGTATGCAAACAGTTAAATGCCCCAGTGATGGGTTAGAAACGCTGTTCTAATTATTGTTTCGCATAAATCCTTGGCATTTTTTTCCTCTGTGCTTTAGTAAATATTAGGCACACTCTGTCTGAAACTTGATTCTCTCTATTATGCCCAGGCTCCTCTAGAGAAATGGGTAACATGTTAAACTCTAAATGACATTCATGCTCTTACCTGTTGGTTGTCAAGATTCATCAGTGTGAGGCTGCATGTTGAGATGGTCAGTTTTATATTCATTCCCGAAAACTGAAGATTACTTTTGCCAAGAACGGATGATAGGAACTTAACTGGAGGCTTTAAAAATAACAAAACAACACTCTAAGTTATGAATTTTGTTACACAGTGAATGTTTGTTTTATAAATGTTAAAATTGGGTCAAAGCCCATACTCTTCCTCTCTATTTTACTTTACACAAATCAAAGGAAATGAAATGATTTTCTTTTAATAAAAACTTTTTTTTCGTTGGAACCCAGCAAATTCTTCAATCAGTAGTGAAATTTGAGCCCTCAGAACTTTTCTCAGACACTCCTTCCTCACCAAGTGTTGGGAGTAGGGGCCTGCTTTATATAAAAAAAAAGTTGCTGTCTAGGTTTTTTGTGATGATGAAAAGAGTATGAAAAACACAACATACCAAAACTTATGGGATGCAGCAGTCCTTAAGGGGAGAATTTATAGCTATAAACATAGAAGAAAGATCTTAAATCAACAACCTAGCTTTGCAACTTAAGGAACTAGAAAAAGAATAAACTAAACCCAAAGCTAGCAGAAGAAAGGAAAAAAGATTAGAGCACAGGTAATTGATAACAGAGATTAGAAAAACTACAGAAAAAATCAATGAAACCAAAAATTGGTTCTTCAAAAAATCAACAAAATTTACAAACCTTTAGCTAGATGGACTAAGAAAATGAGAAGACACAAATTACTAAGATCAGAAACAAAAGTGGGGACATTATTACTGATTCAACAGAAATAAGAAGGATTATAAAAGAGTACTGTGAACAATTGAATGCCAACAAATTAGATTACCTAGATGAGATAGACAAATTTCTAGAAACACCAGACCTACCAAAGTAGTAAGTCATGAAGAAACAACAGAAATCTGGATAGATCTATAAAAAAGAAAAAGGAAAAGAAAAAGAAAACAAAAAACAGAAAATAACAAGTGTCGACAACAATATGGAGAAATTGAAACCCCTGTGCACTATTGGTACGAATGTAAAATGCTACAACCACTATAGAAAACAGTATGGCAGTTCCTCAAAAAATTAAAACTAGAATTACTATATGATCCAGCAATTCCACTTCTTGTTATGTACCCCAAAAAACTGAAAAGCAGGGACTCAAACAGATATTTGGACATCCATCTTCATAGCAGCATTATTCACAATAGCTAAAATGTGGAAGCAACCCAAGTTGTCCACTGACAGACGAATGGATAAGCAAAAAAATGGTATATACATACAATGGGATTATTCAGCCTTAAAAAGGAAGAAATTCTGATACATGTCATAACATGGATGAATCTTGAGGACATTATGCTACGTGAATAAGACAAATACTGTATGATTCCACTTATATGAAGTACTTAGAGTAGTCAAAAATCATAGAGACAGAAGGTAGAACAGTGGACGAAGTGTGATTCCTGTTGCCTATTGTCTTTATTCCAATAAAGCAGGTTTTCACACACACACACACACACACACACACACACACACACACACACACACACACACACACACACAGAATAAATGGTGGTTGTCGGGGACTGGAGAGAGGGAGGAATGGGGAGTAATTATTTAATGGGTTTAGAGTTTCAGTTTTACAAGATAAAAAGAGTTCTGGAGATGGATGGTGATGATGACTGCACAACATAATGTACTTAATATCACTAAACTTTACAATCAAAAATGGTTAATTGGTAAACTTTATATTATGTGTACTTCACCATATTTTTTTAAACTGAGGGGAAAAAGAGTTAAAAAAAAAACAAAACATAAAGTGCTTGGAAGAATCCCTGACATGTATTAAGTCCTCAATAAATGCTACCTGTCAAAGGAAAGTAACTCAAATTTTCTTTTTCTTTTTTTTTTCCTTTACAGGTATATACTTCATGGAACAATGACAGCCTGGTGTGTTTTGTTTTGTTTTGGGGTGTGGACACCCTACTCCTGAAATTAAAAAGTCTTAAATGAATGAGTCTTTTGTTGGGATCATCTAGTTGAAGCATCCTATTCACAGAGGTTATGAGAAAGCAGAGCAGGCTAGAGGCTACTTTGAGGCCATGGGTTCTGTCAAAGAAACTAGTAACGGGGAATTCTAATAGAATTCAAAGGCCATGTATCAGAGTTTTCCACACCATGTGGCTCATCTGAGTCATTCTGGGTTATACTGGGTTCAGCACTATGCAAAGTGATGAAGAATGATAAAAAATGAGGCAGGGTGGCATGGAAATAGAGCGCTAAATTGGGAACCTGAAGACCTGGCTTCTACGGCTGGCTCTGACCTTCATATGTCCTAGTGACTCAAGGCACATCTCTTCTCTGAGCCACAGTTTAGTAGCTGACAAAATGAGAGGGTTCAACTAGAAGATATCTAAAAATTCCTTCCCTCTTCAGCAGTTTACAATTCTATGATTTATACTCGTATAGTTATCTTAAGAGCCTTGACACATCCCCTTTGGACTTTTCAAAGTTTAATAGCTACTCAATAACAAGAATACTAACTACCATTATTGTTGAAAGTTTAATGTATGTCAGACATTGTGAGTCACTCTATAGACATTATTTCATTTTATAATTCTTACACAACTCTCTAAAATAAGTGTTATTCTCTCCCATTTTATAGATGAGGAAACCAAGGATCCAAAAGGTGAAGGGATTGGTCCAAGATCACACAGTTAGTAGTGTTAAAGAGAAAACCACATGGTGTCACTTGTGCTAAAGCCCATGACACTAAGCCAAGACTTAATACCTGACCTATTTGCAGTTTCCACCTTCTCTAGGATTGTAATCTGAATCGGTCAATCTGGAGTTTTCTGGTCAGTACCAATGCAGTAATCTCTCACCTTCGGCCCTCTCCCCATCCCACACAAGAAGCTGATCGACCTGATAAGACACCTGCCTTTCCCTAAGGGAAGGTAACCTTACCTGAAACAATCCTTTCTTTTCTTTTGCTAGTAACTTCCTTGTCCTTCAGTTTCTGCCCATAAAAGCCTTCCATGTTGTACAGTTTCTCAGAGCACCTCTCTATTTACTAGATGGGATGCTGCTCAATTCATGAATCACTCAATAAAGCCAATTAGATCTTCAAATTTCCTCAGCTGAATTTTTGCTCTTTAACAGTAGGTGGCAGAAACAGGATTTAAACCCAAGTATAAAAAATCTCCCTCTACCCAAGTGTTATTACCTCACCTCTACCAGCACCCATGTTTCTGTTTGAAAATAGGCCAAGGAGTTTTAAAAGTCTAAAATGTTAAAATGTAGAATACATACATTACACAATATTCAACTTGGAAGGTACCCAACTGGTCATCTGGTTCAACAACCTAACTTTACAGTAACAAAAATGGAGTCGCAGAGAGATGAGATAGCATGTTCAATGGAAAGTAAAGACCTAGGCCTGGAACCCAGATTTTCTGACTTGAAACCAAGGTGTTTTCTCTGCTCTGTCACTCTAGGCATTACCATTTAAGACAGTGTCAGGCAACTCAGAAAAATTTGAGAGACCAGAACAACTTCGAGTGCATCTCTGATTATCATGCCAACTAATAAAGGCCATTCTGAACCTTAGGTCATATGATGGAATGAACTAACAACTATTTTGATATTATCTCTTCCATAGTTGAAATATAAAACAAGAACACCACACCAATATTTATTTACCTTACGCTTTTTAATGGCTCCGTTTGCCCCAGGGACAGCTTCACACAGGCGACTTATTGCTTCCCTACAGAACAGAAACCATATAGAGACTTAGCATACTATCTAGCACGCAGTAAATGTTCAATAAATGTTAGCAAGTATTATGACTAAAATGTACACACATATAATGGTGAGTCTGGACATAAACGACCTTCCTCCACCCCCATAGGAGAAAACACTGTTCTTAGTCCTTCTGTAGTTCAAACCCAAGAAAACCCAGCAACACGCTAGTACTGAAAACTTATAATAAGGAGTCTTACCATTCACCTTCTTCGTCTCTTTTTTTTAACTTGGATTTTCAGTTTTGGTTTTTAGTGTTGTTGATTTTTAACCAGAAGGGAGGGGCGGAATATTATTGTCTGGGAATATTTCACAGTTTACCTTTAGCAAAATCCTTTCTGTGGTGTTATGAATAAAAAGCTTCATAGTATCTCAGCACCACAGACAATTAAATAAAAAAGAAACCAACACTAGAGGAAGTTTAAAAGGATCAGGAGAGAACTGAACTTCAAGGTGGTCTCAAATGGAGCCTTATTGACTAAGTTACCGCTGCAAGCCATTGAGCTTTCATGTAATTTCACAGAAGAAATGAAAATCAATAACAAATTTCCTCCTTTGCTTATTTTTCTGCCCTTACTATATATTGCACTTCCTGAGAGAAAGGCACCACTAAAATAAGTAGTTGCTCCTTAATGGAAGTGGTGAACGAACTGGCGCCCTCCTCTCCAGAAATGCAGTTAGATCTAAGAGCTTTTGTCTCTGGGACTCAGCATTCATAACCGCCCAAGCTTTCACTCATGTAATATGAACCTTCGCCTTGTGGCTTTCAATGCATATATTAAACTTTTCACAAAGCAAATGGAAATCTCTAAGCTCTTTCCCAAGTGCCCTGGAGATCATTGTTTAAATTGGTAAACTATATTAACACACACACACACACTACAGTTTTTCTATATATTATATTTCATGAAAATATTTTCTGTGAGATGTTTTTGAAGGGAGAAGCGGTCAGAGAGAGGAATTCAGAGCCATTAGAGGGAAATATTAATATATAATATATAGTAACATATATATGATATATGTATATATACAGAGGGTTCCAAAAATATATACACATTTTAAGAAAGGAAAACTATTTAAATCATAATATGCAATATATACTGACAGCAAAAGGTGAATACAAGTCATGCTTGACTTCTGCAATTACAAGAAGTGCTCAAAGTGGTCACCATCAGCGTCCAGACACTTTTCTTTTTCTTTTTTTTTTTTTCTGAGCCATCATGCCACCTGTTGGCAGCTCAGCTCAGACCGGGACTCGAACTGCTGTTGCTCAGAGCTCACACTCTTGAGCGAGCTCCTAACCAACTAAGCCGCTCAGCCGGCCTGGACAGTTCTGATTATGGTGAACTACTGCTTGAGCAACGCTGACCAAAGTGTCCACTTGTATACATTTTTTATATGTATGTGTGTGTGTGTGTGTGTGTGTGTGTGTGTGTGTGTGTGTATATATATATATATA